GTCCTGCCTGGCCCCAGGCCCCTCCGCCCGCGGTGGCACCTTCTCATTTTGTTTTCGTGGTATCTCCACTTTTCCCATGGCCGCGTCTGATTCCAAATCTGCGTCACTAAGGAGTTTCCCCGGCATCGTTCAGCACGCGCAGCGTAGGCCAGCCGCTCTCGTCCACCGCGTGGAGAGGAAGAGACAGCCCTAACCCTTTGGCCCACCCAGCTTCGTCACTTCCTGTAGCGAAGCATTTCCCCCGGAAGGAGAAAGCCCGGGGAGGCCGAGCCCCACGCGGGAGCTGCCGGCGCCAGCGGCGCGCAGGGCCCGGGCGTGTGAACCGACCGCTCGCGGCCTAAGCCGGAAGGTCCGTGCAGTACCGCGGAACTGGAGGGAGCCGCAAAGGTTGGCTTTGTGTTGTTCAAACACTGGCCAGGTTCTTGCTAGCCCCGCCCGCTAAATACAGACGTGAGTGGTGCCTCTTCAATGCTTTCGATTGCACGAGTTTGCAAAATCCTTTCACGAACAGATTCTCGCGACGTGTGTTTTTTTTTAATTGATGAGAGGAGAGAGAGAGAGAGAGAGAAGCAAACATTGATGTGAGAGAGAAACATCGATCCTTTTTCCTCCTGCACTGCCCAGACCGGGATCCCCGCTACTTGGGTACCTGCTGCCCCCACGGCGAGTGGAACCTGTCACCTTTTGGTGTATCTGACGATGCTCCAACCAATTGGGCCACACTGGCCAGGGCGAAAAGTGTATTTTTTTTTAATGTTTTTGTTGATTTCAGAGAGAAGAGATAGAAACATCAATGATGAGTCATTGATCGGCCGCTTCCTGCAGGGTCCCCACTGGGGATCCAGCTGGCAACCTGGCGGTACCAGGAATCAAACCTGGATCTCCTAGATCATAGGTCCGTGCTCAGCCGCTGAGCCACGCTCCCGGGACGAAACGTGTATTCTTGATCATTTTGTCCACCCTGAGAGGAAGCACCCAGATTCACAAGCCTGGTTTAGAACTAGAATTCAACAGGGTCTGGTCATTTATTCATGCACTCACAAAACAAACTTCCTCTGAAGAACTAGTGATCCAAAGAACTGAGAGACAATTCGTCATAAATTCGTTTTTAAAAACGAGATAACAAAATCTACCTCATCGGTTGAGAAAATAGCGAATGAAAAGGATTTGGCACATAGAGCACAATAAATGAAAGCTATTAAAACTCATAGGTGTGTCAAGGTGTTTAGAAAATTCAAAATGTAATCATTTTGTGACAAAGGAAAATGCTGGAAGTTTTATTTCTGTATTTCATAAGATTAGTTTAAGTGCACATTTTTTAAAATGACAGTTTAAAGGAAAAATTCCATGGTTCACATAACTATTACTTGATGTTTCAGAGTCTCAATTTTTTAACAGATAAATGTATATAATTTATACTCTGTGATATCCTTGAGCCAGGAGCCTTCAGACAGTGCCTGGCACGTAGTAACCTGTCACTGAATGCCATTCAAATCATTAAAATGGCATTATGGGGGTGAGGGGGGAACCCCTTGAAATAAATTTTAGCTATATGCCCAGGCAGAAAAGCAATTCAATCATATTGGTATTAAGTGTGAGAAAGGGGGGCGTAAACATGAGTACAGTCAACCAACCAACCAACAAAATGCTTAACATCTGGGATATCTGCATTGTACTGCAGACTTTAGAGTACTTAAGTGAAGGACCATTCCCTGCATCAAGTTGATAAACCACAATCTGGTTGATAAACTACAAAACTGGGATACTGCTGTGATACCGCTATAAATAGTATAAGGACATTTTTATTACCAACAGATGTTCAACAAGAGAGTGAGCCCAGAACACTACTAAATGAAGAGTTGTCAAGGCTTATAAAGTACGTAAGTTCCTTTGTAACATACCTGCACATAGGCATGAGGCCAAAAAGAGGAAACATGCAAAAGGCTCTTTTGGCTCAAAGGTAACCAAATTACTATATTGAATCTACTCATCAGCATAAAATTTAACAATAAGTAGAAGAAATGAATTTTATATACATCTTACAGGAAATGTGAAGTTCTGCTTAAATATTGACTGCGCCAGACTATTTTCCTCTGATGCAGATATGTTTTCATAAAATTAGGGAATTTGTTTCAAAAAGTATGTATACATACATGCACACACAGTGAATTCAAAAGTCTACACAACAAAATGTTTTTAGTAATTATCTCTGAGTGATGTGATTATGAGTGGTTCTTATTTTCTCTACTTTTTCAAATTTTCAACAATGGATATATATTACTAATACAGAAAAAGAATATGGTTTTAAAAACTTATTAAGCACTACCCCAAAACATATGAAACAAAAACAATGTGAGAGGAGGCTCTCAGACATTCACATCTAAATGTGAATTCATTATAGGGAGGATAAATGGTGACAGAAGGAGACTTTGGGTGGTGAACATACAATACCATATATAGATGATGTATTATAGAATTGTATACCTGAAACCCATATAATTTTATTAACCAATAAAAATTAAAATAAATGCAAATTTGTTATTCAGATGTCTACTGCTGAAGGTAATAAAACATTAATTCTAAAACTGAAGATCAGGGCAACTGATTCAAGTTCAAGTAGCTGCACACAGAGTACCAAACTGGAGGCTCTGAATGGCCAAAAAGTGGTACCATCAGTTGCTGGGCTCTAAGGAAGCAGCAGAGTAAAGGTAAGTGGCTGAATGCAGCCCAAAGCCAAGAATTTGGTGAGGAATTTGCCCTGCCTCCTCCTTACAGAAGATGTGGAAAGCTGTTACAGTACTGAGTCTTTTTAGGACCTGCCTTACTTTCCTTAATAGGGAAGGCAGCCTTTAGCAAGTGGGCACCTTAAATCCATCTCCAACCTGCTGGCATTCACCTACATACTTACCTTTTTCCTGAAACGCTTCAGTGGCCAAAACAAGTCCTATGAAGCATTCCAAGATACGACTCTTGTGCTTTCACCACTGCTTTCCTCATAGTGAAGATTCCAACAAGAGCTACTCACCATTCACATTTATTTCAAATCTTCAAATTTTTATTAAACGAGAAGAGCCATTTGAAAACAATATTCAGAATTTTAATATATCTGTGCTGATCAACTTGTGGAGCATCATTGACCACCATGATCTGCTGAAGTTTCTTATGTCCAGAATACAGTGATGGAGAAAATTATTGGCTTCTCCAAGTTTGTCATTATTTGCCCAGATGGGAAAAAGTGTCGCCTTTTCTTTCATATTAGCTTAAATATAATTCTTTTTAAAAATTTTATCTTTATTGTTGAAAGTATTACAGATGTCCCCCTGTTCCCCCCACACTGACCTCCTCCACCCTGTTCCCGCCCCACTCCAGGCCTTCACCGCGCTATAGTCTGTCCATGGGTTATTCATATATGCATATAAATTCTTGGTTAATCTCTTCCCACCCTCCACATCGTCCCCCTTTACTCAGACTTGTCAGTTCACCATATTTAGGCTTTGTGGTTTTATTAGCTATTCAGTGTCTTTGCGTGGATGCTCATTCCCATTTCCCTGTTCCGTTTACCTGACTTAATTCATGTACAATAATGTCCAAAATCTTTTTGTGGGGCTAGGTGCCTTTTTGCAGAGCTCTCAAATCATTCCACTTAGTCAATGCCATGGGCCTAAGTTTATGTGTCCAACTATGTCACTAGATTCTGAGCTCCTGGGGACAGACTTGGCACTCCTTATTCATCTTTGTACCCCAAACATAGTGCCTGGGACATTATACATACACACCTTCTGACTGAAGTACTTAGTACTCATGCACCTAGAAATAGAGATCCTGTTTCATCTTGGGTATAAATCCAGAGCTTACAATTACTCAAATCAGAGCCAACTGAGATTTTTGCCCCCAGTCAGTTATCTGGAGCCCTGTTCCCCATAATCAAAACTTCTTCCTTTCTCAGTTCAGCACTGAGAGTCCTTTCCTGCTCCTGGGCTTAACTGAAACCTGGCTCTTCCTGAAAAATAGCGCCCCTTGCAGCTCTCTCATATGTATGTTGCTCATTCCTTCACATTCCATGTGCCCTGCCTGGTGTCAGTGCCCTCTTCCTTTCCTCAAAGCCATTTGCAAATTATTTCTCCTTCACTTCCATGTAAGTATACTGTCTCTGTGGAGATATGTGGTATTATCACACTATACCCCTCCTAATTCAGGTAATTTAACAATCTGCTATTTATAGTTGGGCACCTGGCTTAGTCCTCTCCCCTCCTCACTCCTGGTTTGTCTTCATTCTAGGACACTTCATTGCCCGTGAAAACTACCCATGTAACATGACTTCTCAGTTCTTCGACTACCTCAACTGAAATAACCTTTGCCCCCCAGTAGGCCTACTACCACACCCCACACCTGTCTTCCCAACTGCTCCACTCTTGAAATCTTGAATTCAGACATCCCTTGCTGACCTTCAGTCTCTCGGCCCTTTTACATTCTCCATTATCAACCCATCTTCACTTCGATCCCTAGGCAGTCTAGACTCTGTGGACCACTACTCCAGTCACTTTTGCTGAGTCCTTAACATTTTCACCTTGTCCTGTCATCTCACAGAGCAAAACCCCAATCCTGGATCAGTCAACCATCTCCCATCTCCATTCCAACAGAAGGCCGATTGTTGCTATCAGAAGTCATTCGATCACTCTAGCTGCTGCCACTACAAATTCAATCTCTAACCTCAACTAGCCCCGCAAAGCTACCTGTGACCCTGTTTGCCTCGTGAATTCTCCATCTTGTTCTATAGCGAATACTTCAGCATTTCTCCACTTTCCTCAAACCTCCTAGCTTAGTAATTCCCTCTTCACCACCAGTAGGTGACAATGCAAGAAAACAATAGAAGACATGAGGCAGGCACTCCATCAACTTTTTACCTTAACACCTTAAAACTTACCTCCATGATAATCACTTTCTTCCTGACAAAATGTTGCAGATGTGCTTCTACCATCTAAGGCTAAAATTTCAAGTGTGCTTGATCTCATCCCTCTGGGTCCTCATAGGGATTTTGCTCCATCATACATTCTTTCTCTTCCTCCCTCCTTTCTGGCTCCTTCCCATATTATTATTTCAATATACTCAAATTTTTTCATCTCCCCTAACTCCCCATCCCCACCAAGACACACAGTTCTCACTGTGATCTCATGTCCTTCCTTCTACATCAGCTTTAGCTTATTCTTCCCTATTCACAGCCAAATTCCTGGAAGACATGTTCGTTTGTTGTCCATACTTTATTTCCCATTTCCTGCTGAGCCCATTGTTAAATGGCTTCTACTCTCAACCGTATATTAATATGATTGTTCATGTCAAATTTTTTTTTGCCAAGTCCAGTGGCCATTTCAGGCTCATCTACTGGTTCCCTTTGAAAGCCTCACACTTCAGGGCTTCTTGCCCTCTTCTGCTTATCCCCTTTTTGTTTCGTTATCCTCACCTGATCGATAACATCTACGATCTCGACCATCTTCCTGGCATGAGGCCCAAAGGAAGGCACCAGGCCAACCTCCACAAGAATGCCTAAACACCACGTTGGCGGCGCTCAAAGAGAAGAAAGAAGGCCTCAGTCCTCTTTTCTTACTATAATTTCCCTGGATAATCTCATCTACTACTTTAACTACAAATACCATTTTTTATTATTCCCTAATCTTTAGAACAGATCCCTCTCCTGCTTCAGACCTATAAATCCGCCTGTTTATCTCCTCTTACATATCTCATGGCCTACTCTATTAAAATATATCTAATACTGAACTAAGCATATTCCCACTCCCTCCCCATATAGCTTTGCTTCATCCTAGTTTACCTTAGTGACAAAAACCTGTTTCATTCTTCTACCTCTCATCATCCAATTCAAAGTATTAAGTCCTAACAATTTTACTTCCTAAAAACCTCTGAAATCCATCCATGTTTCTCAATATCTACCACCACTACTTAGCACAGTGCTTAAGAGTGCTGGCTGGCTGGTGTGGCTCAGTTGGTTGAGTATCCTCCTAAACACCAAAAGGTGGCAGGTTCAATTCCTGGTCAGGGCACATACCCAGATGGCGGGTTCCGGCCCCAGTTGGGGCAAGTGCTGGAGGCAGAAGAGAGATGTCTCTCTCTTCGTCTCCCTTCCTCTCTCCAAGATCAATAAAAGTAAATAAGAGTGCTGGTTCAGAAGCTAGACTTATCTTGGTTCAAATCCTCACTCTACTATGTACTATCCAGCTATGTGGCTCTGGACAATCAACAGCCTCTTAAGTGCCTCAGTTCTCATCATGCAAAATATTTTACTTATCATGTCCAGCCAGTGTGGCTCAGTGGTTGAGCATTGACCTATGAACCAAGAGTTCACTGATTCAATTCCCTATCAGGTCACATGCCCAGGTTGCGGGCTCAGTCCCCAGTAGGGGGCGTGCAGGAGGCAGCCAATTGATGTTTCTTTCTCATTGATGTTTCTCTCTATCCCTTCTCCCTTCTTCTAAAACAAAAATAAAAAATTTAAAAACATATTAAAAAAAATATTTTAGCCCAGCCAGGTGTGGCTCAGTGGTTGAGCATCAACCTAGGATCCAGGATCCAGGAGATCGCGGTTTAATTCCTGGTCAGGGCACATGTCCAGGTTGTGGGCTCAAGCCCATTGGGGGCGTGCAGGAGGCAGCCTATCAATGACGACTCTCTCATCATTGATGTTTCAACTCTCTCTCCCCCTCACTCTCTCTGAAATCAATAAAGACATATTAAAAAAATTTTTTTTTACCTATCATTAGTGCAGACCACTATCACCTCTATTTTGGATTATTCTAACAGTGATTTTCAACCTTTTCATCTCATGGCACACATAAATTACTAAAATTCTGCAGCACATCAAAAAATATATTTTTTGTAGGTATAATTTTGAATGATTTACAATAATAATAATTACCTACCCTTTTTGCTCCAAAGTGACTTTTAGTACCTATACTTGTATGTAAGGATTTCTGGTACCAAGAGTTAATCAATCAGTCCTAGCCAGGTAGCTCAGTTGGTTAAAGCATCATCCAGATATGCCAAGATTGCAGGTTCAATCCCCAGTCAGGGCACATACAAGCAGCAAATAAATGCATAAATAAGTGAAACAACAAAAACCAACGTTTCACCCTGGCCAGTGTAGCTCAGTTGGTTGAAGCATTGTCCTGTACACCAAAAGGTGGCGGGTTCAATACCCAGTCGGGGTGTGAGGCAACTGATGGATGTTTCTCTCTCTCTCTCCCTCCCTCTCTAAAATCAATTAAAACATTTTTTAAATATCAAAAATTTTTTAAAAAACATTTTTTTATTTGTATTGATTTTAGAGAGGAAGGAAGAGAGAGAAAGACATTGATTTGCTATTCCACTTATTAATACATTCATTGGTTGCTTCTTGTATGTGCCCTGACTTGGTGATCAAACCTACAACTTTAGCATATCAGGATGACACTCTAACCAACTAAGCTGCCTGGCCAGGGCCTGTTGCCATTTTTTTTGACAATCTAAGCGAAAAGAGGTCAGTGCCCCTGACTAAAGTCAGGCATTTCATGTTTTAAAAATTCTTGCAACACACCAGCATGCTGCAGCTCAATGGTTGAAAATCATTGCTCTAACAGTCTCCTGGCCTCCAGTCTGGCCCTTCTGCAATCCAATCTCCTTGTAGCCAGTAATCTTTCTAAAACACAAATTTCATCATGTTAATTTTTACTTAAATCTGGTTCCCACTGTCTTCAAGGGAATGTCTGAATCCCTTAACAATGCACATAGGCTTTTAAAATCTGGTCCCTGTTAATTATTAATTCCTTCTCTCTCCTATTCTGGTCTTCTGCTCATCACATACAAACCTGAACTAATTGTAGGTCCTCAGTCTTACCATGCCATTCTGTGCCTCTGGGTTTCTGCATATGCAATTCTCGCTGCCTGCAAAGTCTCTCCCTTCTAAACTCCTCTTCCCGCCATACACATTTTTTTTTAAAATGTTTTTATTGATTTTAGAGAGAGGAAGGGAGAAGGATAGAGAGAGAAACATCGATGAGAGAGAAACATGGACTGGCTCCTCCTGCGTGCCTCCCCACCAGGTATGTAGCCCGCAACCTAGGCCTGTGGCCTGACCAGGGATCGAACCAGTGACCTCTTGGTGGATGCTCAACCACCAAGCCATACAGGCTGGGTCCCACCATACACATTTACCTGGCTATATCAAGTGATACTTTTGCTTTACTTCTCCTTTTGGGCATCACTTCTAAAAGCTTTCCTAACTCCTAAGACTAAAGAGGCACACCTGAACCTGGTCCTTACCTTTCATACCTACCTTCCTCTTAGGCATTAGGTATTAATCTCATTCATAATGCCTTGGTTGTCTTTAGACTGTAAGTTCCTTGAGGACAGTGACCATGTTTTTGTTTACCACTATATTCCTAGTGATTAGTATAGTGATGGGCACATGGTAGACAGTCCAATCAACATCTGTTGTACAAATTATTGAATGTGCACTTTTTGCACACCCTTTTAATTAACTACACCTAGAATTTAAAATGCTACACCTAACTAATCATGTCACCAGTTTATACAGGCCTTTAATGTACAAGGGATTTCTTATTTTCTACTACATATAGAAGGAATAATCTGAATACAGATACACCACATTTTATAAAATGCAAGTAACCTTAAGTAAGATTAACCCAACTGCCATGTTTTAGAAAAAAATTTTTAAATTCTTAACACATAGTGAAAAGAGACAATAAAAGTTTTTTTTTATTCAAAGGTGTAACTGGATAAGTCAATTTGTTTACATCCATTCTTGTGAAATACTTTTTAAAAAAATATGACCAACTTCTTTGCAAATAGCAGACACATACCTCAACTATGATGACCTAGTTTTTGGTGGATAATGTACATGATTAGGCAGAAATAAGTAAGCTCACACTGGTAGATTAACTATCAAATTCTCAGTCAAAACTCCGTTTGTGGCCCCCGCTTCTTGATCGATTTCTATTCCCACTTCGTCTTCTACCATCTTGTCGACTTCCTGACCGACTCCCCTGTCGACTCTGTCTACCTGACCGGCCACCAGATCGACCACCTGACCGACCTGACCGGCCTGACCGACCACCTGACCAGCCACTCCTCTGTCTGGAATTGGAAGATGTGTTTCCATCATAATATTCTTCAATTTCAGGTAACTTGGCTGGCACTGAGAGTATCCAGTCTGAATCATGCCACTCTGCCTGTTGGGCAAATTTATAGGATTAATATAAATGCAAAATAGAAACCATTAGCAAGCACATGCGTATAAGACACTCTTTTTTCATACCTATTATCTATTAGCTGAAGGCCATTTCAGTCAAAGTATATGGAACAAAATTAAAAACCAGGGGAAAATAAACATATTAAAAGCACATTGACTAAAGTTTCTAAGTTTTAGTCAAAGGAGAAACTCTCAGGCCCATTTTGAGGCTCTCAATTCATACTCAATTTATAGATTTTAAAAGAGAGCACGGGCTTCTCTGCATAAAACAAATAGGCCATTAATAAGTAGTGAACTGCTTTCAGCAGGTATATTTACAAAAGCAAGGAGAGCTGATGATGGAGACTAAAAACCTGTAAACACCATGTAGGGACTAAAAAAAATGTAGCCATTGGAAACAATTTGGTATCAAAATAAACAACTCAACATACACAAATCAGCAGCTCATAAGAGGGTCAATGTCATATCCTGCTACATTAACTGTTTTTGTGATTAGAAGTTGCCAAAGACAGTTAATATTAAAATGCTTATTGGTAAGAGTAAGCAGACAAACACCCACACACACCATTGGTGACAATATATGAATCACCAAAGCCTTAAAAATGTGCAAACCATTTGGCCAAACAGTCATCTTTAAATATTCATCTTACTAAGATAAACATGGCAATGTATAAAGAGTTAGCTATAACAACATTATTTATACTACTATATTATTGGAAAGAATCTAAATGTCTGAAAATAGGACACTAAGAAAAGTGGGACGCCCATATGGCCAAATGCCAGGGATCCACTGAAAGAAAGTAACTGTATAGCTGACACAGAAATGTATTCACAGTATGTTCTGAATTTTTAAAAAGACTTAAAAAACAGAACAATCCCCTCGTTTCAAATTATGTATATAGGGTGTCCCCCAAAAATTTATACACATACTCTGAATAATTATAAAGGCAGTGTTTATTAAAACACATTTCATTTTCAAAATTGAGCTAGCATCTGTAAAAGTGTATATACACTTTTGGGGGACACCCTGGAGGACAATTTCTTCAACAGATAAAATACAAGGAATTTTTTTAAAGAGAGAGAAAAGAGGGAGAACCTATAGATTAAAAGAGACTTAAGAAACATCAAATTACAATGTATGAACCTTATGGACTTTACATTAAAAAATATTTAGGAAACAATGGGGAAATATAAACACAAATTGGGTAATATCATGGAATTATTATTTTGTGGGGTTAATTACGGTACTACGATTATGTTTTTTAAAAGTGTCCTTAATATTTAAGTATATGGAAATATTTGTGGTTGAAATGATAAAATACCCAGAATTTGTTTCAAAAGTGTACTAAAGGAGAGGGGGGACGTGGATGGAAGTAGGCATGAAACAAAACTGGCCATGAGTTGGTAACTGCTGAAGTAGAGTGATGGGTACATGAGGATTTTTATGCAATTCTATTTTTTATATGTTTGAAATTAGTTATAAAAAATGTTTTAAATTATGATACGGAGTGGACATTTTATAGTAAGGAATTGTTAATTGACTTAGACATGATAATGATATTGTGATTATGTTCTTAATCCCTATCTTATAAAGAAACATATTCAACTATTGAACAAATAAAAAATTTTAAATACCTGTAACCTTTCTGACTCAGTTGTGGGAACATCAAAGCAAACACCCTAAAGGCAAAAGGAAAACATTTTTATTTAGATGCATATAAGCTGATCTTTTTACTAATCTGCTAACACTTGCTGGTAATCTTTATATTCACTAAAAAAAGGAGATGATTAAGTGTGTCCCATGATTGCTTATAGGCTTAAAACAGCTAATACATGATGATGCATGACAGAGAGGGGCTGCTTACTGTATTTTCTAAATCTGAAAAGTAACTAAACACAATATCTAATAAGAATCTACTACTACTAAGAATCTAGAGCATCCTCTAGAAGGTTTTTGTAGACACAATATTGTTCCATGTCCTTTATAAAATGATCTAATAAAGTCATTTAAAAATTTAGCAGCCCAGCCAGGCACGGCTCAGCAGTTGAGCGTCAACCTATGATCCAGGAGATTGGGGTTCAATTCCTGGTGAGGGCACATGATCCGGCTGCGGGCTTGATCCCCAGCCTGGGACGTGCAGGAGATAGCCAACCAATGACTCTCTCATCACTGATGTTTCTCTCTCTCCCCCTCTCCTTTCCTCTCTTGAAATCAATAAAGATATATTTAAAAAATAAAAATTAAAAAAAATAAAAATTTAACAAGAGAGTTTCTCTCCTGAAGAGCTGCAGGGTTTATCAGATAATGAGAATGACGTATCCCAAGATGTTTCCTCCTTGGTCTTGGTTGCCAGTTAAGTGGAAAGTTAACTTAATATTCAAGTATAGCAACTAGTTTAGCCTATGGATCTTGTTATATTTTCCTTCCCCTCTACATTTTTTCTGAATGTGTGTATTTGTCTCATACTTGCCACAAATCTTTTTTGAATGTAAGTAATATTACACTCTGATAATTATTTCCAATAAACAATCAAGTTCATAAATTCTAGGCTAAAATGAAACTGTAGTAAAATTAAATGATTTCTCAAAATCATTAGAAGAAATCAGTCACTAAGATTACAGATGGTTTTAACTTTGCTATTTCATAAGTGTATTAAAATATTTAATTCACTTCATTATCCTCATTAACAACCAATAGCAGGCCACTCAAAAATCAACATTGTACATTCCCTAAATAATAAAGTTGTTTAACTACTGCACTCATAAGTTACTTAGTCTTAGAAAATAAACACACACACCACACAATAAGTATATATGGGCTGAAACTTAAATAACTTGGATATTAAAGTCAAACTAAGAAAAGTAACTTACAGTTTTCTAAAGTAATGGGTTATTTAAATAACTTCCCCAAAATTTACAACTGGAAACAAACACATTAAGAAAACAATATATTCATCCCATTAGGCTTCAAAGAAAGAAAGAAGGAATAAACCCCGCTAGTCTTTATAAACATTTACAGTAGCTGATTAAAAACTTCTTACCATATTTCCTTTTAGGAGGCACATTCTGGTAATTTGGGACACGGCATTACTACTCAGCTTTCTGTTAAGTTCTTTCCATGCACAGCTGACATCCTGTATTTCTTCTGGGCTTTCCAGAGTCATGGTCACAAACCCCTTAAGGAATAAAAGTCACATTATGTTGGGGAAAAAGCAACAGCAGCAGCGACGAAGTTCTAATTCAATGAAGTTCATGACTTAAACATGCCAATTAAAGAGCCAACACTATAACATGACTGCTAAAAAAATAACTTCTTTGAAACTATATTAATAGAAGATGAGTGTTTATAGGTCACTGAAAGTACCATTCCTTTCTTCATTGTTGTAAAGATTATATTTAATTCTAACCATCATGCTGTAAGAGATAATTACACTAGAGCATCAGAAAAAAGATACATAGTGAAGAATTAAGGAAGCCAATTCTGAGAAAGTTCAAGTTAACCGGCAGTGGAAAAACAAGAGGACATAAATCTCTTCAAACTTTTTAGGGACTATTACATAAGCAAAACTACTTGTTCTGTAAAACTTCGTTGTACAGGAAAAGGATGAACATGAAGAACATATGTGAAGGCACTCATTAACAAATATTTCAGGGCCCTCTGTGTACGTTCCAGAGACTCTACTAGGTGCTAGAGATTCAGCAGTACATAGTCCTTCCTCTCATGGAGGTTACATTCTGGTGTATGGGGGAGGGGAGTGGGGGGTGATGGAATGGAGTAGTCAGTGAACAAATAAGAAAATATATAGAATGTCAGATAGTAATAAGCATCATGAAGAAAAGTTAAGCAGAGCAAGGGAATAGAGAGTAAACCAAGGAGTAAGCTATTTTAGGATGATCAAGAAAGACCTCTCTGATACGGTGGTATTTGAGGAGAGAACAGAATGAAGTGAAGGAGGAAGCCATGCAGTTATTAAAAGGAAAGAACACTTGAAACAGTGCAAGTACAATGGCCTTGTATAGGAGTAGGTTTATGTTTGCATAACAGCAAGTAGGTTAGGGTAGCTGAAACAAGCAAGGGGAGAGTGATATGAGAACAAAGAGATAGCAAAGGGAAGATACCCTGTAGGGCATCTGTGGTAAAGACTTTGGATTTGGTTTAACCCATAAAGAAATTTCAAACTATTAACACCCTGTTTCTAAGACATTCTAGACTCTTATCTAAACAACTGATATACTCTTCAAAAAAATCAATTAAAAAGATGGGCAAACAGTCCCAAATTAAGAGAGACATAATAACCAAATATAACATAAATTTAATTGGACCTAATTTTAAAAAAATACATATATAGGGGAAGAGAGAGGAAGAAAGGGAGGGATAGAGTTAGACAATTAAGTGACTCTCAGCAAAATGACATTGGGCTAAACCATTAACACCTGCCAACTGGAAAACATCAGATGACCCAGCTATACTCACTTATGCTACACCAAATAAGTCACATGCACGTTTACGTCCCCTGCACCTTTTGTTCCCCTCTCCCACCAACTCTCTCTCACAATCTCTCTGTCTCTCTCTCTACCCAGACATCAGAGTGCAATTTTTTGACGGGTCCCCTCACCCAGGGATTCCCCTCACTTATACCATAGTGAGTAATAAATCTTTGAACTACTTGCAACCAATGGTTCTGGTGTGGTTTGTTTTGACATCTGACAATGACATAGCAGGGGGCCAGGTCAGATGATATTACACACACACACCCCCTCCACATATACAGGCAATCCTTACTTTGCATGGTACTGTATTAACTTCACAGAAACTATTTCTCAATCTGCAGTTCCATGGCAACTTAAAAATAAAGAACAGGTTTTGGTATGCAAGTTTCAGTGAACACAGTGCTGTGCAAAGTGAAGGTTTCCTGGATTTCTCTCCAGATAGACAGATATCTGTGGTTCAATTGTAATCTTTTCTCAAGCACATACAATTTTCTTACAGATTTCTACCTTATCAGAGGTGATTAAAGATCGTGGTTCAAAACTCGAAGCACCAGAGATATGGGCTAATGCTGCAGCCAATGCATCCACTGCCCCTTTCTCTTCTATCAGTCTTTGAGCTGATGGTCGGAAAAAGTCAACAGCAGCGTAAGAAACGGAAGCCAGAGACCTATGGTTTAAAAATAGCAAATTTTCTTGGTCAAGGCAAAAGGAAAAAATTAAAGATAAGAGAATGAATGGGAAAAGAAAGAACAACGTTTTTGTACTTTAATATAACTAAGTGTCTGCTGGTAAAACTGGTGATTAAATTTTCTGATATTTGAACTAGGAGAGCTTAAAGATGAACAGCCTAATACAAAAGAAAAAATTATTCAGCAAGGTCAGAAAGCATACCTGATGGCATCCATGCTTTTAGATTTAACTAAATCCATTGTAGAAGGAACACCTACACGTTTAAAAGTAATTCCCTGAAAATGAAAGAATTACATTAAAGAAAAATGGAAGTCTTTACAATTAATTTCTAAATTAATATAGTTTGTTGAATTTCCATTTCTTGGACTTAGAGATTTCCAAGCACTAGCAGATCAAAAGATCTATTTTTTCTAATAAATCACCAATTACAAAATCTAGAAAGAGAAAAGAGATTTTTTGAATTGCCCCTTAGTTACAAACATGGAATTTCAATTGCAAAATAAAGTTGATTCAAAAAAAAGGAAAATCATGCTGTTTACAACTATCAATTTTTTTCTCATTACCCTATCTCACTTTATGAAGTACATGAAATAGTGTATAAAACACATCATAAAAATTAAAAATGTGAAATACCACAAAAAATGTATTTTTTATAGAAACTGGCTATTGTACCACTACTCAATATAATCTTAACTATTACACCAACACAACGTCACAGTCACCATTACAATGCTAGACATCAAGAGATACTGAAATTATAATGCACTTCTGATTTTAGTATCAAGGGAGAAATTCAGAGGAAAAATGAGAAAGTCAGCTCTTCTGTCTTCACAATAAAAGCTGTATTAAAACAAAATCTTGCAGCTAATATAAATTTAGCTCTCCACATGCTTCACATCCAAATGCAGCTTAAACTGAGAAACATTATAAAGATCTATTTGTGAAAACAAATGTAAAAAGAACTCTTTTCTAAGGCACCACTTAGATAATAAGCCTGAAATAATTGAACTCTACTTACTGCTTTTTGTTCCACATATCTTAGTTGACCTCTTTCTCTTGGTTGATAAAAACATATGCAAATCCCGGTCCGGCCAGCTCTACCTGTGCGTCCAGAGCGATGAATATAGGACTCAACATCCTAAAAATAAGAGGTAATACTTTTTAAAAATCTAGCAAGTTACACAGTCATTCCAGCATCCAAATAATAATGCTAATAACAAAACTACTACTACCAAAATACTATTTCTATTTCAACCCTGTTGCTTTTTCCAACATCCCAAAAAATTTTTACGCAGAATTTTGGGACAAAGGGGATATGATTTAAAACCTTATCTACCTCATCCCAGGACTTTTTATAAAGCAACTTTTTATAATTCCCTTGCATGAATCCAGGCTTCAAATCCAAATGAAGTTAAGCAATTTGCAAAGGTAAATCAGAAAATGATTAATTTAACATCAATTTATTCCACTGTTCTTTCCCCAAATCCAATCTCATTTCTTACCTGTGGAGGAGAACTCTGAATCACCAAGTCAACCTCAGGAATGTCCAAACCACGGGCAGCCACATTGGTCGCAACCAAAACTTTAAAACTACCTTCTCTGAAGCCTTTCAGTGTAATTTCTCTTTGTGACTGTGCAATGTCCCCATGTAAACACTGGGCATTCTATTAGAAAAAAGGGGGAAAATAACTGTACAGTTCATACTTACAATTGATATCACTGTAACATCATACATTTTGTGCTCTTTTTTGCTGTTTCTCAATCTTATTTTCTGATCATTATAATGCACGCTTATTGTTCAAAAAACCATTTCAGAAAAGCTTCCCTGAAAATCCTCCTCCTAATAATTCACTGCTAGCAGTTTGGTGAATATCCCCCAGATATATTTTAAATACACACACACTTCTCACATATACTAGCGTATACTATAATTTTATGTATTTACTTATAAATAAGAGGATTGTACTATATATGTATATATGCACTCTTTTCTAATCTGCTTTATAAATTATTTTAGTTATTTTTTCACATCTACAATATAACCTTAATTTTTTATTTATACTTTTTTAATCTTTTTTTTTTAAAGAAGAGTTTACTGATTTTTTAGAGAGAGAGGGAAACAGTGATGTGAGACTGCAACATGGATTGGCTACCTCCTGCACACCTCCCACCTGGGATTGAGCCCACAACCTGGACCTGTGCCCTTGATCAAGAATTGAACTGGCAACCTTCTGGTACATAGGACATCGCCCAACCAACTGAGTCACACTGGCAAGGGCCTTACTTAATTTTTTAAAATTGTCTATGATTTTATTTCTTCATATGGATGCAGTATCATTTATTTTAGCTATATCCTACTGGTGAACATTTAGGTTGTATCCAAATCTCCACCTTCAGAAACAATGCTAGAGTGACAAAATTGTACTTCTATCTCTGTATATTTCAGTAGGATACATATCTAGAAGTTGAATTTCTGGGTAAAAAATTATGAACATTTAACAAGAGGTTGTACCCATTTACTCTTCAACATTCTGAGTATTTAATCTCCTCATACCCTACCTAGCCTCCATATTATGAATCATTATAATGCTTGTGAATGTAATAGACAAAAGTGATTTCCCAATGTTATTTCAATTTACATTTCTGTAATTTTACTAAAGTTGAACCTATTTATACTATTTACATATTTATCTACCATTTGTGCTGTAAATAACTGTCCTAGTATTATAAATTTCCTAGTATTCCTACCCACTATTAAAATTCTAAAGTTTATAACAATGCCCTGGCTGGTATGGCTCAGTTGGTTGTAGTATCATCCTATACACCAAAAGGTGGCCGGTTGGATTCCCAGTCAGGGCATATATAGCCAGGTTGTGGGTTCATTCCCTGGTAGGGGTGTGTGAGGGATGCAACTGATTGATGTTTCTCTCTCTCTTTCCCTTCCTCTCTCTAAGATCAACTAAAAAAAATTAAATTAAAAAAAAAAAAAAGTTTGTAACAATGATTTAACCCCAACACATTCATGAATTAATTCACTGAGTACTTCATATGCACCAGGCACTATGCCAGGTTCTGGAACAATCATAAAGAAACAGCCCTGGGACAAGTTGACAGGCATTTTCAATATTATGTGATATGTGCTATATAAACAGGTAAAAGGTGCTATAGGAAAACCTAATAGTGAAACCTAACTCACTCTCATATGAGGGAAAGGTAGCACTGAAGCCGAGACCTGACACATAATAAGGAACTAGTAGTCAGGTAAAAGGGGGAGCAGGAGGCTAGGGAGTTCCAGGCAGAAAAAAATACACATAAGTAGTATGTCTGGGGAACTACAAATATTTGAGTATTGCTAAAGCATAAAGTGAAAAGGAGAAATGGTGAGAGATGAAGCTGAAAAGGAATCTGAATTTTATCCTGAGGTCAATATGGAACAATTGAATAACTAAGCAGGTTATAATGAATATATTTGCATTGTAGAAGAAACACTAGCAATGTACAGAATGTATTAGAAAAGGACAAGACAAAAACTAGGGAGACCCATGTAGCAGGCCCTTATGGAAATTCAAAAGAGGTATCAGTGGCCTCACCAGGGAGTGACAATGACCATCTATTCATTCAATAAATATTTAGTAATATACAACATGCTGGGCACTGGGGGTAAAATAACAAACAAAAATAAGACTGCCTTGGTCCTCATGGTCTTTACACTCTGGTCGGGAACATAAATCAAATAATTAGGCACACAAATAAATTTAGCCAAAAAGTGTAATGGATGATGCACACGTCTAAGAGGCAAAGACCATTTACCTAGTTTGGGGCAAGAAAAAAGTCCCTGAAAAGTGTTGCTCTGGACTGATATCTGAAGGATAAGTAGGAGTTGCTAGGCAAGATAAACTACAAGTTCAAGAACCCTGTGGTGCCCGGCAGGGCGTGGCTCAGCGGTTGAGCATCGGCCTAGGATCCAGGAGATCGTGGTTCGATTCCCAGTCAGGGCACATGCCGGGTTGTGGGCTCGATCCCTAGTCAGGGCCATGCAGGAGGCAGCCAATCAATGACTCTCATTATTGATGTTTCTTTCTCTCTCTCTCTCTCTCCCTCTTCCTTCCTGTCTCGGAAATCAATAAATTTTTTTTTTTTTTTTTTAAAAAGAGCCCTGTGGCAACCAGGAAACAAGGCATGTACAAAGAGAGTGCAGAAATTAGGGAAAACTGTAATAGTAAGATGAGGCTGGAAAGGTAAGTAGAGACTAAGCCATAAATGAATTCAAGAACTATTAGTACATGAAACTGGGAGGATTTGGTGAATGGAGTAGAAATGAGTATAAGGGAAACATTACACATGACTCCCAGATTTTGAGTTTCTGCAATAGTAGGAGATAAGGCTCTAAAACAGTTTGTAGTTAACTAGACAGCAAATGGTAAAGAGTAAGTCAAGGGTGATAGATTTCTGGCTTAGACTATGGGTAGATGTATCATTCAACAACAGGGAATGTTGGAGAGAATGGGCATAGCAGTATAGAAGAGAATGAGTTGAATTTTAAGTGCATAATGGATTGGGGTGTCTGTAGTCAGTAGAATAAACATAGGTCTAGATTCTGGAGACAGAACCAACCTGAAAAAAAATCTGGACATCATCAGTATATAGACAATATTACAGGAGTAATTAGATACATGCACCTATACACATAGCTATACTTCTGTATTTCTATACTTACTGACTGCCTGCTATAAGAAAAGCATCATGCTAAATGCTTTAAATAAATTATTTAAATCTTAAAAGTGTAAAAAGTTTATTTTTCTATTTATATATATATTTAAATATGTCTATTGATTTCAGAGAGAGAAAGGGAAAGGGGGAGAGAGCGAGACATAAACATCAATGATAAGAGAGTCATTGATCAGCTGCATCCTGCACGCCTCCTATTGGGGACTGAGCCCGAAACCTGGGCATGTGCCCTGACCAGGAATTGAACCATGATCTCTTGGATCATAGGTTGATGATCAACCACTGAGCCACACCGGCCGGGCAGTGGGAGACATTTTTTTTAAACACCTTTATTGCACTATAATTAACAGGTTGAATTCTTAAACACTAACAGAAATAACAGAAGTAGCACTAGAGCTGTGAAGTATTATGACCCACACTTCCCCTTCTAAAATTCAGAAAGATTAACTTCACCTAAAAATGAACATCAGAAAGTATTACAGTTAAATCCCATAAAGAAATTAGGAGGGGGGAAAAAGAATAAGCAGAATAGTACCCCAATAATGAAAGAGCTCAAGAAAGGCATGCACACAAAACAGATGAAAAGTATATGATACTTCTGAATGAGCTACAAAAATTTTTAAAGTGACATATGAAAGAACAAGAAATATCAAAATGAGAAAAATTAAGAACTGAGGTGAAATGATTCAAGGAAGAAGTAGAAATAAAAGATAAAGATGTTTGCCCTGGCTCAGTCAGAGCATCATCCTGTACAACAAAAAGGTTGTGGGTTCAATTCCCAGTCAGGGCACATACCTAGGTTGCAGGTTCAATCTCTGGTTGGGGTGTGTACGGGAGGCAACCAATTAATGTTTCTCTCTCACACCAATGTTGTTTCTCTCTCTTACTCTCTCTCTCAACATATTTTAAAAAAAAAAGACTTCACAAATAAAGACTACACTAGAAGGAATACAAGACTGAGTAAACATGACAGATGATGCCTTTAAAATAGAAGGTTTTTGTTTTTTCGGGTTGTTTTTAATATATCTTTATTGATTTCAGAGAGAGGAAGAGAGAGAAATAGAAACCTCAATGATGAGAGAGTCACTGATAGACTGCCTCCTGCACACCCCCAACTGGGGATAGAGCCCGCAACCCAGGCATGTGCCCCGACCGGGAATCGAACCCCTATCACCTGGATCCTAGGTTGACGCTCAACCACTGAGCCACGCCCAGCTGGGCTAAAATAGAAAGTTTTGAAAATTAAAGAAGATGAAAAGGATCTGAAGTTTTGAAAATTAAAGAAGATGAAAAGGATCTGAGATAAAGTGACAAAGGAGAGAGCCTATATAT